ACAGACAGAATATTGTATACATAATAAATAAATAAATATTAAAAAAAAACCAACGGCATCTTATTTTTATACACAGCCAGAGGATTTTTTAAAAATCTGTTTATATTGTCTCCATTACCCCATCCATCACTTTAAAGCCTTGCTCTCAAATTGAATTAGAAATTTCTACAATTAGTCTTAAAATTCAGCAAGGTACCTTGAAAAATGACCTAGTGCTCTCAAACCCTAGAAGACTGAAAACATACTTTTGTATTTTAAAAAAGAAGTTTTAAAACCACTCTAGTATTCTAAGAACTTGCAGAAAAAAAGAAATTACAGTTTTATAGCTGTTTTTAAACTAAACTTATTTTGCTTTGATGCTTTTCCCCTGATGCTAGCACAAATCTGAAAAAAGGAAGCAAGAAGGAAGAAAAGAAGAAGGAAAGGGAAAGAGAAGGGGAGGGGAAAGAAGAAGAAAGAAAAGGAGAGAGAGGGAAAAGAAAATGACATGAAAACAAATGGTCGTTGTTCGTGTTATGAAAAACACAAACTATTAATAGAATAAATATATTCAAAGAAGAATAGTACTTTAAACTTCATATTTTAGTTTTATGTGTATGAATGTTTTGCCTGCATGTATGTTTGTATAGAATACGTGGGGGCAACTTCCAGGACAGTCAGAGCTATTCAAAAACAAGACAACACAGAAGCAAAACTTATAGTATAAATTAAATAGAAAATGCATTGTTTATTTATCAGACAAAGTAAGTTTAACAAAATCATAAACATTCTGTTAGAAGATTCACAGAAAGGCAGAGTGAAAGTGAATGCGACAAGATGTCACCGCAGAGTGCATGAACCTCTGGCTCTTGCCCTCTTCCCAGCCCCTCTCCAGTCATTTTGCCTGAGCCTTAGGTGCTAGACTATTCTGTAGACGCCATGGATTTGAAGTAGAGTGGGAACAGGTATAAGGAAGGCTTTGAAAGAAGGACAAGGAAGGGATAAATGCTGTAACTAAGATACACCCTCATAACCAAACAGTAACAAAAACGTGAACTTGACTTTTCAAAACTAAAGTGTTCTATTTAAAATATAACTTAACTAATTTGTAAATTTATTATCTCAAAACTATTGGCCACCTAGTAAGGGTCTAGGATCTAGTAAAGATCCGCCTAACAGTGGTGCACACAGCAAAGGAACTTCGTCGCCTTTGGGAGGCTGTGCAGTGCCCCCCAAAGTGAATCAGGAGGTTCCACAGCCCTGGGAACAGGTGCCATGTGAGTGCCAGAGGCTGACTTCCTTCTCCTTCCTCAGACCGAGACATGGGTGCCCGGCATCGTGCCGGTGCCCACTCCATCCAGATCATGAAGGTGGAAGAGATCGCCGCTGGCAAATGTCGCAGGCCGGCTGTCAAGCAGTTCCACGACTCCAAGATCAAGTTCCCACTGCCCCACCGTGTTCTGCGGCGCCAGCACAAGCCTCGCTTCACTACCAAGAGGCCTAACACCTTCTTCTAGACCCAGAGACCCACTGAATAAAGCTCCAGAGTTCTGTCTGAAAAAAAAAAAAAAAAAGATCCGCCTAGTAAGGATCTTTAAGCAAATATTTGTGCTTTTCAAAGTTTGCTTAATGAATTCCCCTTTGATTTCCTTTTGGAGATTTCCAGTTGCTTGATCATGCAAGTGAAATTTTCACTTGTTCACCGCTATAACCATCCTGATTTACTTTTAGAAACATAAAAATCCCCTGCTAAAAGTTACTCAGAAACCAACTCAAAAAGCAATGAAAAATCTACAAACCTAAGTCGAAGATCAAGATCAACATTTCTTAAAATAATGTAAAACATCGTGCTATCTGAAACACTACAGGGGTGACTATCTCTGGACATTCTAACATTCTTAACCACAAAATCCGTATGCCTGTTGGAAATAAATTTACATTTTCTTCTGATTTTGTTTGCTTACTAGTAATTCTTTTTTATACTAACTCTTCTGATGACCATTACAGTAGTTTGTTACATTGCTTTCCTCTTCTTGAGTGTGTGTGTGTGTTCTTCAAGAATTGAGGTTTGAACCATTTTCTTTCGTGTATTTTTCAGCATCCTTCCAATGATTGACGCATTTTGGTATGCTTTCACTGATGTTGATAAGGCAGGCGTTGAGTTTTGCCCTTTTAATTGATTTTGTTAAAGAAAAGTTTTCAATAAAGTTTTGTTATGGAACTGATATTAATATTAGATGAGGTTTTACAGGTGCATGTCTATGTAACCACTACCTGGAGTAAGAAACAGAACATTCTCAGTACTCAAATTTATTTGTCTTCACTTCCCTTCTTCATTTATCAGAAGTCAATGATAACAAATACTCTGGTTTTCTATAGACCCAGATGTTTTAGAATGTTTGAGTTTAGTAAAAATAGTCAGCTGTTATTTTATGTGTATGAATTATTTTTTACAATTACATTCCTGAGATGTTTTTAATTTGTTCATTGTTTTAATGTATTATTTAATTTTACATTTTAGATAATGTTAGTCCGGTGACATTTATTTCCCCATCCTACTATGATGAGCTAATAGAGATTTGTATTATTATAAATCTGCTATAAATATTTTTGTTTATGACTTTTAATAGACATATGTGATCAGTTCCTTAAACAGAAGCCAAGAGAAATGTCTGTCAAAGATTATCTGTTTAACTCTAAGTGATACATGTCAGTTCTTTAACACAGTTTTACCCAATTTATAACTCTATCAATAATGCAAGAACGTTCTGTTCAATACCTGTCTTCTCCAACATTTAGTAATGTCTATCATTGGGCAAATATTATAGTTATTTGACAGCTACACATTTCTTTGTTTTAATTCATGATTCTGTGATTATTGTTGTAGTTGGTTATGTTTCAATCGGCTTACCTTACATTAAATATCACCTCCGCTGTCTTGGACTGCTTTCCTATTTGATATTTTAACATATTTATTTTATATATAGAATACTGGCATGAGTCATTAGCCATACATTGTATTGAAATATCCATGACTTGCCTTTTTACTCTCTTTTTTCCCTACCATTTGATGAACTACAATATTCAATTCCTATGACACTCTTATTTTTTTTTCTATATGGCAAGTGGTATGGCCTGTGAAAGAAATTTTTGTTGTTTGTAGAGAAAATAAAGCTCATTTCTCTACTTTCTTCGGTTATGAAATTGCTTTAATTTTAAAATCAGGTATGTAATCCATTCTTAATTCCTATTTTCTTAATGAAATATGAGTAATAAAGTGTTTTTGCCTTTTTATCAGGGCATTTGTTGATTAATGACATTAATTGAAACAAACATACTTCCCCTATTGAATTGCAGTGAGTTTTATTACTAATAATCAATCAAGTAATTATCCTTGTATAGGTATATTTATGGACCATATCTTTGAACTCATTAGTGTAGTCTATGAATTAGTAGTGTCCCACAAACCTCTTCGAGAAATCTATGTGATAGTAATACTGGGTGAGCTCATTTGTAGCTGTAATTTAAAAATGTTGGGCTAACTGAAGTAGCAAATAGAACAGTGAACATCAGAAGCTGGGAAAGAGAGAAAATGATGAACAGACAGTGTTTCCATTGGACAGGAAGAATAAACTTTAAAGATGTGCGTTTGTATAAAATAGTGAAAATAATAAATAAAACGGCATTGTTTTATCTATTTTTTTTTGTAGCTACATATTTTTCTTATTATGTTTGGTGACTTTGGGTCTTAGTTAAATATTTGAGCAAGTATTACCTATTCAAGTTTTGTGCTTGAAACCTGGTCTCTATTTCTTATGGTGTCATTTGGTTTACTTGGCCTATTTGATGGCTGTGGCCTTTTATTCTCTTGTAAAGAAGGAAGATACTTTCCCAGACTCAACTACCCTACTGTGTTTCTGTGAGACTCATGCCCACCATGCCAAAGAGAATTCCTTTTGATATTGCTTCTCTCTTCAGCTAGAATCTCTGGTACCCTTCGTGTGGGAGGTATGTTTCTTTGGGCCACTCTGGGTGAGAATCCCAACTTATCAGCCATTCCTGATAGTGCTGGGCCCAGGAGCTATTTTCAGAACTCCTATCTGGACCTGGAGCCGAGAAATTGAGTCAGTCTGTCTTCCATTTTTAACATGTGGCCTAGAAGGCTGGGTCTGCTGCTTTTGCACGGCTGTTTGAAGAGATAATAATTGTTTTGAATAACAATTATTTTGAAGGAGAGTTCTTCTAAATATTCTAATTGGGTTGTGTTCGCTGGTGTCCAAAGCAATTCCTTTTTACATTGGACGTTTCGCTGAAATTGCAGCTGTGCTACTTGGATAAAAGTGAACTGTGTTTAGGACTGCGGAGGTGACTGGATAGATAAAGCTGTTGTTGCACAAACAGGCAGACCTGAGATTAGATCCGCTGCGCCCACATGAATGGTGTTTGAAGCACTGCATGTGGCCATGCTTGAAACTGCAGCGGTGCACATAAGCATGGTTGTTCTCTCACACTCGTTGCGCAGTATTGAGCTAAAACCACACGCTCCAGCTTCACTGACAAATGACCTGTCTGAGAAACTGAGGGTGAGAGTAATAGAGGGGAACACGAGATGTCGACCTCTGGCCTCTACATCCACAGTCACAGGTGTACAAACACAAACTCATACCTATATGCACATAGACACTGATTTCCCCCCCCAAAATAATCAACTACATTGATATAACTTAGAAACAATGCTACTTTATATACTCGTAGCAAAAATTCATCAACACCATCCATATGCAGATGAAGTTCATTATTATTATTAATATCTTTAATTTTGAAAAAATAGTATTTTTACATTTTCTCCCTTTCCTTTCCTCCTTATAACTCCTCCCAGTTACTCTTCTTATTCTCTCTCAAATTTATGACCTCCTCTCCTTTCTTTAAAAAAATATATCTCTGTGTGTGTGTGTGTGTATATATATTTGTATATCTAAAAACAAAATGGCCTGTTCATTCTTTTTTTATGTTACCTGTATACATATGCTATCAGGACATTTCAAGTGTATTATTCTTGTTATGAAGAAATTTTCCCCTTGAAAATGATAAATACATATTTCCATTGTAATATTATACTTGGAAAGGATAAGTGTGGATTCTCTATTGCTTTGTGTGAAGCGTAGGATCTCACCAATCTTTGATGTAAGCATTCACTAATCAGCTTAGAAATTCAATTTTCTAAGTGCTGCTTACTAACACCGGATAAGGTCCACGTTTGGGTGCCAGAGAAAGAACGAGTTCATTAAAGCTGGCATTGCTAGGGCAATTTTCCAGCTTCTTTTGACCTTTGTGCTAGTGGAGCAGCATTATCTCATTTTTGTCTTATTTATAGAGCTCAAAGCATTTCATTTACAAGTCATGCTTTTTTTTTTTTCATGTCTCTCTTAAAAGCCATCTTGGAAAATAAGGCTCTGTCCCCCCTGAGGTCTGTAACAAGAGCAAAGGTCTAGCGTATCTTTTAGGAACATGAAAATATTCTTTCCCTGCCTCTCCCAGGTTTCTCTCTCATTCTTGCCAGCCCCGTTACAGACCAACTGGTCCCCTCAATGGGAAGAGCTGACGACGTCAGCACTTCTGCATTCTGCTGCTGCATCCCCTGTCAGAAAAGCAAGCAAAGTGTCCGGCTCCTTTCCTGGAGGAGAGTGAAATACAGAATCTTTCAAATCACTGCATCCATGTTTCTTTCGGCCAAGGTGACTAGGATACTAGACACAAACTCATTGCTTGAATCCGATAATAAATATCACAAAAGGTTGGAACATGGAGAAATCATTCTTGACCTGGATAGGGGCAGAGTCAGTGCAGCAGAAATGGGAATGGAAAGCATATATGTAAGAAACGAATCATCATAAGTCGATAGCGTGGTGCCGACACATGAGTCTCTTCAAATTCAATGAGGACAGTGAGGTAAACGTAAATGGTTTTTGTTGTTTTTCGTATAAAGGCATATAAGTTCATATTTCACCATTTATAATGCATGGGGACATAGTAACAAGGACTGACAGTACAAAGCCATGGTAAACACGCAGTGACAATAATGGTGAGGGTAAATATACATGGAAGATGGAATGAGATAACCTTTGCTCCCTCTAAATCAGTCAATGTCACGGCTAGACTACAGGCATTGCAAGCAACCAGATTAGATACTTACTTTCCTATCACAAACGCCATTGATGACCTTTGTAATAATAAGACCATTTCTTTGAGAGCGAACAAGG